TTTAATAATAATTTTATTAAAGTTTACAAAGCAAAGATAAAAGACTAATACAAATTAATAAGAATATAAAAAGTAAAGAAAAAATAAAAAGGGCAAAGAAAAAGAAAAAAAGGAAAAAGAAAAAAATATAAAGAAATCACTCCCCCCTCCCTCCAGGCAAGTATAGATAACTTCAGTAACTTAACAACTTCTCTAATATTTCAATTTAAAAAATCTCTTCTTCCCATATCTCTTATCAATAAACAAATTGTAAAAAGTCATCATTCAGTCCTAATCAGCAAAAGTCATTAAGAGCTACCAGAAATAATAACATTCATATTTTAACCTTAAATAAATCCATTTTGTATTCCATCTTATCACTTTCCCTAAAAAATAAAAGAAATCTCTCCCCATTACTTATCTGTTATCTATAAAAAATCTTTGAAGCCTCATAATTCATTCTTGGTCAAAAAAAAAAAAATCCATTAATAGCTTCCAGAAACTACAACATATATATTTTCAGTAAACAAATTGTAAAAACTTGTCATTCACTCCTAATCATCAAAAGTCCATTAAGAGCTACTAGAATTAATAACATATATATTTTAACCTTACAGGTAGTCCTCACTTAATGACCATTCATTCAGCAACCATTCAAATTTATGATGGTGTTGAATGATGAGACTCATGACCTGTGCCCAAAATTACGGCTGTTGCAGCACCCCTGCGGTCACGTGATCATGATCTGGGTCCTTGGCAATCGGTTCGCACTTATGAACAGTTGCCAAGCACCCCGCGATCATGTGATTGCCATTTGCAGAAAGTCAGTGGGGAAGCCAACAGGGAAGGTTGCAAGCCACTGCTGCCTGCCGAGAGGACTCCCTCTTGTCTCTGGGGGCTAGCTGAAAGAGCTCTGTGCCGAAATCTAAGCAGGATTTTGGCATGGAGCTTCTTCAGCCAGCACCCAGAAATTTCAGCACGGAGCTTTTTCATCCAGTCCCTCATCTCTGGGGTCTGGCTGAAAAAGCTCTGTGCTGAAATCCAAGCAGGATCTTGGCATGGAGCTTTTTCATCCAGCCCCTCACCAGGGCTGAAAAAGGTCCATGCCGAAATCTCTGGGGGCTGGCTGAAAATCCCCCATGTCGAAATCCAAGTAGAATTTTCAGCCGAGGAGGATTTTCAGCTCAAGTGGAGAGGCTTCAGAAGCCTCTTGATTCTGGGGCTGAAAATCCAAATGGTTCTGAGGCCCTGTGTACCTGACCCCTGAGCACCCTCCCTGAAGCTCCCATGCATCCCCTCACTCCCTCTACCACCCAGCAGCAGCTAGGGCTTGCAACTTCCTGCTGGCTTCCCCACTGACTTGATTGTGGAAAGCCGGCAGGAACTTGCTTTGCCTAACCATATGCGATTTTCACTTAACAATGGCAGCAAGGAGTGCTGGGATTGCAGTCATTAAGCAAAATGGTCACGTGATGATTCGCTTAATGACTGCATCGCTTAGTGACCTAAATTCTAGTCCCAATTGTGGTTGTTAAGCAAGGACTACCTGTAATCAAATAAATCCATTTTGTGTTCCAGTTTATCACTTTTTCTAAAAAATAAAGTAAAAGAAATATCTCCCCATATCTTATTTGTTATCTATAAACAAATCTTTAAAACCTCATCATTCAGTCCTGATTAAAAAAAAAAGTTCCATTAATAGAAACCGCAACGTATATATTTTAACCCTGGTTGAATAAATCTACTTTATATTCCTTCAATTTACTTTTAAAAAGCTTGATCTTTAATTCCTTCAAATAATGTCCCACAAGTTGATTTCGTATCATTTTCTCTTTGTCTCCTCTCAGAAACTTCTTCGCTAATTTAACACGTCTCTTTTGTAAATCCAAGATAAGAAAGCTTTCCAAGTCACTGTTCTGATTTATTATTTGTATGTCCCCTTTAATTATTAAGACATCAGCAGGTTTCATTTGTAAATCCAATGTGGCATCTTTTTCCATACCACTCTTGTAGTCTGGTACTTTTAAATCCATTTTCAGATCCACATTCAGATCAGCCTCAATTTATTTTTTTCAATTCATGCTCACTTCCATTCTGACTCACTTTCAGACTCCAGACTTTCAAACTCACTTGATTGTCCATGGATTAGTTAGTTTATCAGGCATTTTTTTTCCTTTTCTTTTTCTGTTTCAAAGTTTTCACAAAATATGTGTTATTTTCCAAATTTTAATTTTGTTTAAAGAGAATAATGTTGCATGCCTATTATGTTCATTTATTCCTCTGCAAAAGCATTCATTTTTCTATAACCTCTGTGTGTGTTTCTGAGTGTAGTATATGTGTACTAGAATATTAGACAGTGGAGAAACTGAAACTGAGGTTGATAGGAAGGTGATTCACTCAAACTGCATTGCCAAGTTATTGCTTGAGAGCTTTGAGGATAATACAGAAATGGCCTGGGGAAGTAGTTTCTGCAGTCAAGAGACCATATAACTTGGAAATCAGAGCACTGATTTCTACAAAATTTGTTCTGTTCCATCTCCTTAAATTTTTACTTAAAATGCTATTACATTTACATTTTTTTAATTGGCTAGGTGTTGACATTTTTTCTATATTAGATAATGGTTAGCAGACCTCTGGTTTTCCTGATTCATACTCCACAATCAAGAACAAACCAGGACATTTCTCTTGAAGCCAACAATATTTGCAGAATTTCCAGATCTGAGTATCTAGCCATGAATCAGATTACACAGTTGTTGAATAGCCCAAATATGTACCACTTACTTACATAAATGTGTGCTACAAATTGCCATCCACAACTACTTCCCATCACTCATGGAGATTAGAAAGCATATTTGACCCTCCATTCATATACCTGAACATCTCTCAGTCTTTCACTATATCTCTCTTCATCCAGCTCCATTAACTTCTGCAATCTGAAGCCTTAAATTCTACCTCCTGGGTGCCTTCAGTGTAAAAATTAGTTAACCTATGTTTGTACATAAATTGTGTGATCACAATTTATTTGTTTTTATTTATATATCAAATTTGTCACCATCCATCTCGTTGACATGACTCTGGGTGTTTACAGCAGAGATAAAATCAATTAAAATACAATATAAAAATAATCTTAATAAATAAATTCCAAGAAATATGGAGAATTGACATATAACTCAGGGAGTGTTGTCAGGGCGCTAACTACCCCCAGGGATGGTTAGAGCTCATATCGCCCCATGCACACTGGCAGAGCCAGGTCTTCTATCCTTTCCGGAAAGCCGGAAGAGTTGGGGCCTACCACACCTCTGGAGGGAAAATATGTCAAAGGGCGGGGGCAGTGGCAGAGCAGGCTCTCCTCTTGGGCCTAACTGCATGTATAGAAAGCACAATAGGTCATTTAAACCTACCACTACCTTTTGTGCCATTTCTAATCTATTTGCACATGACAATGATCTCAGATACTGCTCATTTCCACAGGTTGATTCAGACTCATTTATAAGAAACTGCACTGCAGATCCCTCAATGTCTAAAGCCCCTGTGCCACAGCAGCCTCAACAGCTCAGAAAAGACAATCCAAGCCTGTCCCAGCAAAGTCTGTTGTCATCATCTAGTGCACTTAGTTCCTTGGAGGAAATTTGGCAAATGTTAGAGATGGGATCAAGTCCTTCAGTTCTTAGCCCCAAGAACAACATGGATCAAGGTGCGTATAATACATAAAGACATGGTAATTTAATTTTAGTATTAGAATTCAAATGCAGCACAATGGCTTCTGGAATCTGAAATGTCTCTACCTTACCTATGGCAGAATCTACAGGAATTTTGTTCATCTCCTTTGTATTTTCACCACCTTTGAATTCAGTGTTTTGTTTACCAACTTTGAAATGAATGTGAAACTGGCACATTTATGTGCTCCATTAATCACTGGCTACAGATAACTATGTAGTAGGTCAGTGATTTTTACAGACTGTGTTCTGTGGAATATTCTGGAAGACAGCATGCTTGTCTCTAATGGTTTTTCCTTGTAATGTCCAAGGGTAAGGAAGTGTTGGTTGTATTCTTGGGTGCTCTCTTGGTATGTAACATGAGTTGTGCTGCACATGAACTGATTACATCCCACTGTTCTTTGCAGTGCATAGGAATCCAGGTCTGGTGTTCATAAGCAGACTAGAACATGTGACAAAATGTTCTTTGAAGCTGAAAGTCTGGAAAGTACTCTTTTTACTATTCAGAAGTAGATATTCCATACTGTGGCTGAATATAAACTGCTACTATTTAAGATTATCACTTTTATTTAGCATGGGCCCTTTTCACTAATTTTACTGACATTTCAGGGCAGTTATTTTATTTTTAATAAAATATTCATAGGTAGAAATACATTGCTTTTTTGTGCTTATGACAAGTTTTGCTTGGAAGAGGTAAAAAAACTTGAGTCAATGCATTCTAATGTAGATTTAATGGCTGGTGTGGGTCTTCCGGGCTGTGTGGCCGTGTTCTGGAAGTTTTGTTTCCTAATGTTTCGCCAGCATCTGTGACCGGCATCTTCGGAGAGCAGGAGCACAGATAGGAGCAGTGCTGTCATACTGTCAGTTCTGTCAGACAGAGAACTGCTCCTATCTGTGCTCCTGCTCTCTGAAGATGCCGGTCACAGATGCTGGCGAAACATTAGGAAACAAACTTCCAGAACACGGTCACACAGCCCAGAAGACCCACACCAGCCATCGTATTCCGGCCGTGAAAGCCTTCGACAATACATTAATGTAGATTTGTTGTAAGATTCAGTTTTATAAGATTCAATAACAGATCATTTATTTCTTAGATTTATATCCTGCCTTTTCTTTAGGAACTCAAGGTAGTATACATAATGCTCCATCCTCCCGTTTTATACAATAACCCTATAAGATGTGCATATAGGGTGATTTATAGTGTACATATTAAAGTTGCATCCCCCCAAATACTATTAAAGTAAATAATACTGTGATCTTGTCCAACTAAATAAATTAGAAATCCTTTGGAGCCCATTAACAGCTGAAAGAATTGAGGGAAATGGAAATTGGCCTGTTTAATTTTAAATAGAGTCTTAGTAGTAATCTTAGGAATGATTTGGCACTTTTTGTCTTTTTTATTACCATATGAACCAACTAAACATTTCTCTCTCCAATATTAGACTTAAAACTCTCTCTATCTCTTTCTTTTACTGATCACCCTGTGGTCATTTCTGCTTATTATGTGAATCCATCAGACATTTTTACAAACTGAACAATTTCTCTGCAAATGGTTCTCCATAGCAGCTCTAAGACTATGAATCATTAGTTATTATTGCAAAATGTTTGGAAATAGAAAGTATATCATGAAATTACAGATTGACACTATGTTCTTAGTTAACAATATTTACACAATACTGTATGCTGGCAGCTATGTGGCAGCAAAGGGAAGGTAATATCATTGAACTCCATGGTTCATATGTAAAGATCCATCTATTGCATCAAAATTTTGGTGAACGGAGCCATAGAAGAGATACTATAGGTCAAGAACCTGTTGATAAAACAAAGACTGTTTGCATATGTAGATGTCATAGCAACTTTCCTAATGTTTCATGTTCTCAACTGGTGAAACTCAACTGGCAATTTTACAAGAACGCTAATTCCTAAACTTGGATATTCCTACCTAGAATAAAATTCCTGGCTTTAATACTGCAGATGTCCACAATCCCGTGCTATAGAACAACTTTTTGTGCTAGTTATTTGACACCTGCAGATTGATTTTTTTTTCTGATTTTAAAACTTTTATTTATATAAAAAGCACAGTTAAAATACAAATCAGAGAGTAGAGAAAAGAAAGAAGATAGGACTAATAGAAAAAGACAAAAACTAAAATAGTGAGAACAGATAGAAAGATGAAACAGAATGTGACTTCTGACTATCTCCAATACAGATATAAATACAAATTTTAAAAAGGTTAATCTCTTACCACTAATTAATCCAAATTCACATTATTTCTATCGGCACAAACCATCTAATCATTAAACCCCACAATCAAAGCTTCATTTTTTTCCTGCCCAAGCATGTAATCTAAGAAGGGTTGCCATGAGGACACAAATGTGGAAACAATATTATCTCTTATTAACGCTGTTAATTTCTCCATTCGAGCCAAGTCCATCAATTTTATAATCCATTCTTCCCCTGTAGGTATTTGTGAATCCTTCCATTTCTGCGCATATAACAGTCTTGCAGCTGTAGTCATGTATAGAAGCAAAGTTCAATGTTGTTTCTCCAGTCCTTTATCCATCAAACCCAATAGGAACAGTTCTGGGTTTTTTTTTGAATGCTCACTTTGAGAATCTTTTGAATAGCAATACATATCTGGTCCCAAAATTTTTTAGCTTTTTCACGGGTCCACCAAAGATGATGAAAGGTTCCTTTACCCTGCGAACATTTCCAACAAACATTTGTTATACCAGTATACATTTTTGATAACTTATCA